TTGCTTATATTGTGTGGAAGACAAGAGGAAGTATTTTGGGATACTATTGGAAATCTTATCCTATACAGGAAAGTTCCTTTCTGTTGATATAAATTAAGCACTTATTACACTGTGGTGGGTGTACACACACATTGTTTCTTTCTGTACTCGAATATATATATACCTGAAGCAGAACAGGCAACCTCAGCTATACACTTGTGGGAAACATCCCCCTCCTCCCCCCAACCAGTGGTGTATCCTGGTTTTGTGCTGCCCTAGGCATGCCAAAATTCAGGCGCCACCCCCCCCCTGCCACCCTCTCTTCCCCACCTTCTAAATACACACACACATTCACTGACAGACACGCATACACTAGCTAACAGACACATGCAGTTACTAACAGACACACACATTCACTAACAGACGCATACACTCTCACTGACACACACAAACTAACAGACACACGCATAGTAACACACTCCCTAACACACACACACTCCCTGATACACACTAACAGACACATACACACCACACTAACAGACACACACACACCACACTAACAGACACACACACACTAACAGTCACACACATATGCTATGTTGTTTTATTTATGATTGGTTCAGCAGATCATCCCCCTTTTTTTGCTTATATATATATTCAACCTTACAGGCTACTCCCTCACCCATCCTGTCTGGCCGCTCTCTCACCTTGGTGGGCATAGCTACTCCCCATACAGGCTTGTGTATCACCTCTGTCTCTGTGCCTCTCCATAAACTGGTCCCACCCCATCCAGGTGAGCGTCTTCTTGTTTTTATTCCCTTCTAAGTCTGCGTGTATCATTTCATATTTTTAGTTTTTATCCACAGTGGCTATTATGTCTTTAATAGTTGGAGGTCTTGTCTGTTTCCAGAGCCTTTCTAAGAGGTAGATAGTGGCTAAAAGTATGTGGGTTATCACCACTTCATTGTCCCACGGTATTTGGGTTGGCAGATAAAACAGCATTAAGTTTAGGTATGCCTATGTTTGCAATGTCGCCCACCTCAGTCCACATTGTCGCCCACCTCAGTCCACATTGGCAAGAGGACTGGATATGTCCACCATATATGGATCATTGTGCCACTTTGCGTACCACATCTCCAGCGTAAAGGGGAGCTATCAGGGAAGATGCGTGCTAGTCTGGCTGGGACCATGTACCACCTGAGCACTATTTTTATGTGCAATTCTATATGTGCTGCACAGTGTGTGACCCCCTTCAGGGAAGTTCTTCTTTTATTTTAAACTCCTTACTTGTGGTTCTGATTCTTTCATCATTAATAGTTTACATTCTAATTATAACGTGTTAATTTTGCTTAGGTATTTATAATCATATATTGTGAAATATAATCTTAATACCCTTATGTTAAGACACTCACAGCTTAAATGGATGAAACTGCCGTTTAGCCGATATTCCCTCTTTCCAGAGACACAGGCTCTGTACAGCAGATCGCCAAACTCCCGAACGGAGTGTAAGGGAATGCGGTAAATCCACGAACAAACAAATCAGCCAAATCCCTTCTTCGGATAAAACAGGCGAAAGGAATCCTTCCAAGTAGCAATCCCCCCAAACACGAGACCAAGCTCCATCTTGAGGGTAAAACAGGAATCTGTTTAATGAGGGCTACCTGCCTGGTATTTATGCAGGTCTCCCACCTGGTGGACACTCCCCTAGGGGACCAGATGGGAGACTGGGAGAAGTATGAAACATTAGCCAATCACAGTGGCTCAGGTTTACACACTCCCCTTTACACCAGTGAATCCCTCCTCTCTATCCTGGAGATAATTGGGAAGAAATCCAATTATCTCCAAGGATAGAGGTAAATCGCCATTTTAAATGAAACAGTTCAAATGCATAAAAATATATAACTTTACAAATACCAAATACATTGGATTCGTGCAAAGTATCCCCAGATAGCCTGCATCTGAGTGCATATTACTACCGAATAGCGCTCAGATCCCATACACACAGTTCAATCGCCATGGAGTCAAAGTCTTTCACAGGACTTTCGGTATGCGATTGACTCCATGGGATGTCTATCTGGGTTAAGTCCATTCATATTATCCAAACTCCCGTACGGACCGGTGTTCGCATGCCTTGACGAATGAGAAGGGCGGTCGGTAGTTTCAGCGGTGTTCGGTAGAAAGTAGTTCCATAAGATCTGCGTCGAACACCGCTGGTCTTTCGCGTGTTTTAAAATGCCCGCCGCCTCGTGGTCGGCATACGAACGACGACCACCCTGCATTTGGTTGTACTGAAGAGGTGTCTGCGGTTAACCACAACGTTCTAATTGGGGCCAAGAGGTTAACCAGCAGCACACTTCTCTTCTTGGTGGCTGTCCGTTCGGTAGTTTTGGTCGGTATAAGTCTAAAATAACGGACAGGGGCACACGGACAGGCAATTCCGCGAAGGGAGGCAAATTAGACGAAACAGCAATACCAGTCATACAGATGGATCTGTCACACCTTAAATTCAAACAAATCTGCCCCCATACCTACTTTTTACTAATGATCAAAAAAATATTCCCTAAGATCTTATAATTTCTTATTTCCTTTTTTTTTTTACCTTTTCCCCCCCTTTCCTTCCCTTATCACTATTTCTTTCCTACTAACTTATATTCCCTCATCCTCCTTATCTTGGTTCGATTTTGTTTCTTCTTCCCTTTCTATCTTCTTTCTCTTCCTCCCTACCTATTAATATTTTCACAACCCTTCCTTTTTTCATTTGGCTAATACCATCCTCTATGATTGCTACAAAGATTAACCCCCTTTCCTATGTGTCTCCGCCTCCCTTTTCTTCTTTTCTTTCTTTTTATTTTCTTTGAAACATAGAAACATAGAATGTGACGGCAGAGAAGAACCATTCGGCCCATCTAGTCTGCCCAATTTTCTAAATACTTTCATTAGTCCCTAGCCTTATCTTATAGTTAGAATAGCCTTATGCCTATCCCACGCATGCTTAAACTCCTTTACTGTGTTAACCTCTACCACTTCAGCTGGAAGGCTATTCCATGCATCCACTACCCTCTCAGTAAAGTAATACTTCCTGATATTATTTTTAAACCTTTGTCCCTCTAATTTAAGACTATGTCCTCTTGTTGTGGTAGTTTTTCTTCTTTTAAATATAGTCTCCTCCTTTACTGTGTTGATTCCCTTTATATATTTAAATGTTTCTATCATATCCCCCCTGTCTCGTCTTTCCTCCAAGCTATACATGTTAAGATCCTTTAACCTTTCCTGGTAAGTTTTATCCCGCAATCCATGAACCAGTTTAGTAGCCCTTCTCTGAACCCTCTCTAAGGTATCAATATCCTTCTGAAGATACGTCTCCAGTACTGTGTACAATACTCCAAGTGAGGTCTCACCAGTGTTCTGTACAATGGCATGAGCACTTCCCTCTTTCTACTGCTAATACCTCTCCCTATACAACCAAGCATTCTGCTAGCATTTCCTGCTGCTCTATTACATTGTCTGCCTACCTTTAAGTCATCAGAAATAATCACCCCTAAATCCCTTTCCTCATATGTTGAGGTTAGGACTCTATCAAATATTCTGTACTCTGCCCTTGGGTTTTTACGTCCAAGATGCATTATCTTGCACTTATCCACATTGAATGTCAGTTGCCACAATTCTGACCATTTTTCTAGTTTACCTAAATCATTTGTCATTTGGCTTATCCCTCCTGGAACATCAACCCTGTTACATATCTTAGTATCAGCAAAAAGACATACCTTACCATCAAGACCTTCTGCAATATCACTAATAAAAATATTAAAGAGAATGGGTCCAAGTACAGATCCCTGAGGTACCCCACTGGTGACAAGTCCAAGCTTCGAATATATTCCATTAACTACAACCCTCTGTTGCCTGTCACTCAGCCACTGCCTTACCCATTCAACAATATTGGAATCCAAACTTAAAGATTGCAGTTTATTGATAAGCCTTCTATGTGCAACAGTGTCAAAAGCCTTACTGAAATCTAGGTAAGCAATGTCTACTGCACCACCCTGATCTATAATTTTAGTTACCCAATCAAAAAAATCAATAAGATTAGTTTGGCATGATCTCCCTGAAGTAAACCCATGTTGTCTCTGATCTTGAAATCATGTGTTTTTAGATGTTCATCAATCCTATCCTTTAACATGGTTTCCATCACTTTCCCCACTACTGAAGTAAGGCTTACTGGCCTATAGTTGCCCGACTCCTCCATATTACCTTTCTTGTAAATGGGCACAACATTCGCTAACTTCCAATCTTCTGGGACTACTCCTGTTAACAATGATTGGTTAAATAAATCTGTTAATGGTTTTGCTAGTACACCACTAAGCTCTTTTAATAGCTTTGGGTGTATTCCATCAGGTCCCATTGACTTATTTGTCTTTACTTTTGACAGTTGAAATAGAACCTCTTCCTCTGTAAACTCACGTGTAATAAATGACTAATTTATCCTTTTTCTCAACTGAGGTCCCTTTCCTTCATTTTCTTCTGTAAATACAGAACAAAAATATTCATTGAGGCAGTCAGCCTGACCTTTATCCTCTTCTACATACCTTCCTTCTTTTGTTTTAATCTAACTAATCCTTGTTTTACTTTTCTTTTCTCATTTATGTATCTAAAAAATGTTTTGTCCCCCTTTTTTACTGACTGTGCTATTTTCTCTTCTGTGTGTGATTTGGAAGCTCTTATAACTTGCTTAGCCTCTTTCTGCCTAATCTTATAGATCATTTTGTCTTCCTCACTCTGGGTTTTTTTATAATTCCTAAATGCTAACTTTTTGTTTTTAACTATTTTGGCCACATCTGCAGAGTACCACAGTGGTTTCTTGAATTTTTTGCTTTTACTGACAAGCCTAATGCAATTTTCTGTTGCCTTCAATAGTGCAACTTTTAAATAATCCCAATTTTCTTTTCGTTTTATTTCTATTTTCTTTCTACTTGTTCCCTCTGCCATCGCTCCAGTACATCTGTTCTTTTATTGAGTGAGCTGATTTACACATGGATACCCTTTTTAGTTAGATCTTCAGAAGGATCATTTACTGTGATTGTTCTATCCCCGTTAAAGCCCAGATTTTTTGTAGGGACCCCCCTTTTATATGGAATATTCGTATTCCTTAGTGTAATAGTCATGTCTCTGAAGCATTTGCTGTTATTTCTTGTGGCTGGTGAGAGATCGGGGAAAGTGGAGATAGACATAAATTTTGAGTCCTGTGGTTTGTTATGTCGGATTTTCCAAATCAGAGCATCTTTGACCGCGCTGTTTATGAAACGTACTATAACCTCTCTTGGTTCTGTCATTTGGATATTGTCTGGTTTGCGAATTCTATGGAATCTCTCAAAGGGCGTTGATCTAATGATCTGTTGATCTAGAAATTGAGCCATATATTCCTTCAAATACTCCTCCAGGTTGTCTGCTTTCATCTCTTCTGATATGCCTTTGAATATTAAATTGTTTTTCCTTGAACTATCCTCAATATCAGTGGTTTGGATTTCCAACAACTTTACCTGGTTCATTAGTATGATATTTTGAGTTTGGAGAAGTTTAATTTCTACACGTGCATCTTTCAAGATGCCATCTTGTGTTATTACCTTCTGCTTCAGGTCTAAAACTTCCGTCTTTAAGTCAGATATATGTGACTTGAAGTGTTTGTGAATTTTCTCATACAGGTCATCTAGTGCTTTTATTAAGCTTTCCTGGCTGAGTTTTTTCCATCTAGGTAGACGCATCTGAGGTCTCATGTTGATCTGGAGATATTAATCTTCTATTATGCTCTTCATGAGTGATTGTGTTAGGTTTAGGTGAAAAGAAAGTACTTGTGTTGATGTTTTTTGTTTTCTCTAACTTGTCAGTTTAATCCGTCTCATGCATTTTCTCTTTCGCTATTTGTTGCGTTGTGTTTTATAGATTAAAATTACCCAAATAGCTTTATAGCACAGGTTTTAGATTAAGCACACAGACCTTGTGGATTCGCCTTTTATTTTATACATAATAATAAAAATAAATAAATTTAAAAAAAATTATTTTCCTTCCCTTTTCTCCTTCTCTTTCTTTCTCCTTTTCTTCCCCTTTATGTACTGTCTAAAGTCCAGAGAGTATGCAATATAGTATTTTACTGTTTTACTTAAGTTGAACAACAGTCAGTGTATGAATAGTATTTAAAGGATCACTATAGGCACCCACACCACTTCAGCTCAATGAAGTGGTCTGGGTGCCAGGTCCATCTAGTGTTACCCTGCAGCTGTAAACATAGCAGTTTCAAAAATTCAGCCTCTAGTGGCTGTCACAGTGAGAAGACGCTGACATCAGTAGGAAAGCATTAAGAAATGCTTTCCTATGGACTGATTGAATGCACGTGCGGCTCTTGCTGTGCATGCGCATTCGGCACTGACGTCGGAAGAGGGAGGAGAGTTCCCCAGCGCCGAGGGATCCCGGCGCTGGAGAAAGGTAAGCGTTTAACCCCTTCGGCCCCCTTCAGCCTGACGAGAGTGGGACCCTGAGGCTGGGGGGGAACCTAAAGACCCTATAGTGCCAGGAAAACAAGTTTTACTATTCGTTAACAGAGTTTAGGTAGCTTTAGTTTTTCCTTTCCCTCACCTTTTTTTTCACTGTTAGGTTTGCACGGTAGTCAGGAAAATGCAGAACTTATTATATCCCTCTCTATTCCTTTTACCCAAAGGTATTACAATCCTTTTAAGCAGACTAAATTATTTTACTTATCTAAACTCTCTCTGACACCTCGGCTCCAGTCTTCCCAGCCTCGAGAATCAAACTCCTCAGGGCGTCCACTCCCGACGTTTCCAGCCACCACCCTGAATCTGTATGTCCCATTCTACTTTGTTGCCTTTCTGCCTTATTGCCGGTGGGCACCTTCTGTATCTGCTGGATCCCTTCATCACCTTCCCTACACGCCTACCTTCCTCCAGTACCAAATCTCCCAAGCCTTGTCCACGCTACTTTGGGTCATGTCCTCCACTATCTTCATCCATGCTTGTGCACCTGCAACGTCATGTCCGCGTCCTACATCTTTACCTGATCAGTGCATTCTTCTAATGTTATTTTGAAGCTAGTTCAGTTGATCTTTTGTTAGCTAGTTGTATGTACATTAAACGTTAAGTTTTAATTTTAGTAATTTTGCTTTTTATATATGGGTTGCTTATTTCTTCATGAAAGTCATGTTGGAACTATATTTAGTTCCACTTTACTTTTGTGAGTGGTCTTTATTCTTGTTTACTTAAGTTACAGGGGTTACCCCCCAGCCTTTACATAGCAACTTGACACTTTCTCACTATAATTTAAAATTTTCTATAAACTTTTGAGTGTGTACATACTTTTGATTTTTTTTTTCTATCTTTTTGTAGCACTGCTTATATTGTAAATAGATTTCTTAGTATTTTGAGATTTGATCGATTTATATTTCCTAGCGTGGTCATGTTTTTATCGGGCCATATTATTGGGATCAAGGGCTTAACAATTATCAAAATAAAATCCTATATAATTATACTGGTAAGCAGAACTTTACATATGTAGAGTTAAAAATAAAAGTAAACAGTTGAAACAAAGTCGTAGTGGCGGTCACTATTCAAAAGAACCGCGAAGGGCAGGGACTCCAGAATTCTTTATATTGTATTTTCTCAGCTGCTGTAGAATATCTTTAAGCTGGAAACATTTAGTTTGTTTTAGCATTGCAGAATGGAACAAAAATGTTACCCCGCCTTAACTGTCCACTTCAAAAATGTGAACAATTTAAACATCTTTCTTCTGGGTTTCCTAGGGTTTTTTGGCAGAACTGTACAGGTGATACTCGAAAAATTAGAATATCGTGCAAAGGTTCATTTATTTCAGTAATGCAGCGTAAAAGGGGAAACTAATATATGAGATAGATACATTACATGCAAAGCAAGATAGTTCAAGCCGTGATTTGTCATAAGTGTGATGATTATGACTTACAGCTCATGAAAACCCCAAATCCACAATCTCAGTAAATTAGAAGATTGTGAAAAGGTGCAATATTCTAGGCTCACAGTGTCCCACTCTAATTAGCTAAGTAAGCCATAACACCTGCAAAGGGTTTCTGAGCCTTTAAATGGTCTCTCAGTCTGGTTTAGTATGAATCACAATCATGGGGAAGACTACTGACCTGACAGTTGTGCAGAAAACCATCATTGACACCCTCCATAAGGAGGGAAAGCCTGAAAAGGTAATTGCGGAGGAAATTGGATGTTCCCAAAGTGCTATATCAAAGCACATTAACAGAAAATTATGTGGAAGGGAAATATGTGGAAGAAAAAGGTGCACAAGCAACAGGGATGACCACAGCCTGGAGAGGATTGTCAGGAAAAGGCAATTCAAATGTGTTGGGGACTTTCACAAAGAGTGGACTGAGGCTGGAGTCAGTGCATCAAGAGCCACCACACACAGACGGATCTTGGACATGGGCTTCAGATGTCGTATTCCTCTTGTCAAGCCGCTCCTGAACAACAAACAACGTCAGAAGCGTCTTACCTGGGCTAAAGAAAAACAATCCTTATATCTGATGAGAGCAACTTTTGCAACTCATTTGGAAACCAAGAACTCAGAGTCTGGAGGAAGAATGGAGAGGCACACACTGCAAGATGCTTGAAGTCCAGTTTGAAGTTTCCACAGTCTGTGTTGATTTGGGGAGCCATGTCATCTGCTGGTGTTGGTCCATTGTGCTTCATTAAGTCCAGGGTCAACGCAGCCATCTACCAGGAGATTTTGGAGCACTTCATGCTTCCTTCCGCAGACGAGCTTTATGGGGATGCTGGACTTGGCACCTGCCCACACTGCCAAAAGCACCAAAGCCCGGTTCAAAGACTGTGGGATTACTGTGCTTGATTGGCCAGCAAACTTGCCTGACCTGAACCCCATAGAGAATCTATGGGGAATTGCCAAGAGAAAGATGAGACATGAGACCGAACAATGCAGAATAGCTGAAGGCCGCTATTGAAGCATCCTGGTCTTCCATAACACCTAAGCAGTGCCTTAGGCTGATAGCTTCCGTGCCACGTCGCATTGAGGCAGTAATTGCTGCAAAAGGGGCCCAAACCAAGTAATGAGTCCATATGCATGCTTATACTTTTCAGAGGTCCGATATTGTTCTATGTACACTCCTTGTTTTCTTGATTGCATGTAATATTCTAATTTACTGAGATTGTGGATTTGGGTTTTCATGAGCTGTAAGCCATAATCATTGCACTTATGACAAATCACGACTTGAACTATCGTGCTTTGCATGTAATGCATCTATCTCATATATTAGTTTTCCCTTTTACATTGCATTACTGAAATAAATTAACTTTTGCACGATATTCTAATTTTTAGAGTATCATCTGTATATTGCATTTTCCATGTACCCAGAAATTCTTTAGCATCCTCAGGAAATGTACCTTTCTAATATTTGTTTGAAGATATTCCATGTATCCTCTGTTTTTTTCACTAAGGAGTTTATGCCAGTCAATATGTTCTAGAGCTGCCCAAATCTTATTAAAATTGTCTTTTTTAAAATGATATGCTTTAGTATACCTCTCGTTCATTTGCCATTTTGAGTTTATTTCAAAAGACACAATATTAGTCACTCCCAAATGCTCCCCTACTTGAATGCTGGTCAAAAGATCAACATTGTTTGTTATAACCAGATCAAAACAAACAACCTTTCTAGTTGGTGTTTGTGGCGAAAGTAACCTCGTCACTGGTACTTGGAGGGGCCTGCTTGCCAGCCTCTTGCCCCAGGATTATGGGCCCTGCAAAAAGACATGTTAAAAAGTGACTTCCATGGAAAAACCAAACCACTGAACTGATCTGGGTGAAATTGTTGGATATGTTAGTAACCCAGATCAGGGCTATCCGAGCATGTGACTCTTGTGGAGTTTCCATGGATCTTGGGGGTACTTTTGGGGTGTTTGTAAATTGTGTGTTTTTCTGTATCTGGAGATAATTGGGTTTGTACATTTCCTGACTCAATTGTCTCTCAGACACAGAGGAGGAGTATGTTGAATGTATTGCTTGTCTGTGCCTCTCCCCCCTTTTCCTGTCCTATTGTTTTCCCAGCAGGGCGTTTTCCCAGGGACACTGCCAGACCAGCTTAAACTAGCTGCTTTGTCCCTTCTCAATCTCGCATTAGCCCTTACTATTGTCTGACCCCACCCGTCCTTGTACTATAGTGCTCTATGTAACCTATTGTATGTAAATGAGGCTGTTGGGGGTTTAAATGTGTGTGTGTGTGTGAAAACTGTAAGTGCTTGCCTGCATTAAACAGACTACTTCCCAGCATTAAGCCTTGGCTCATGTGTGGGGAGAATTGCTATACTGCTCTTTGGATTATTATACTCTCTTGGAGGAGAGGTCTTCTCAATGGGAGCTGGATCAAGGTGTTGGTCCTGGGTGGGAAGGGACGGCGAGAACCCAGCCAAGCTGCGACGGCTAAGGGGGCCTACGGTGTTTATGGTGTCTGGTGCGGTGCTAATAGTACTCGGTGAAACTAGGAAGCATGCTTGGCGGAGGTGCCCAGTCAGTGTGCCAGGCAGTCCGTCACAGTGCTTGTACCAGTTGTGACATGAAGGTGTCATTTAACACATTCAAAAACCTGATTCCCCTTGATGAAGTATTAGTCACTCTATCCCAAATTATGTCCAGTAAACAAAATCTCCAATAATTAACATGTTACCCAGATTTGCAGCTTTCCCAATTTGCTCTAACAGCTGGTCTTCCTTATTAATAT